CCCCCCCCACCACCACCACAGCTCTGATCTCGAAACACGCAGCTCCCCCGCACTTAATAACTCCCTCCATATGCACTTGCGAAGACATGAGCGAACGAGCCTCTCAGGATGACGACGAGCTTCCATCATTGCTGAGGAGGTCCACCTTAAACCCTACCTACCGCGACTATGACCATGATATCCGCTTCCAGAACCGAAACAGCGAGGATGTCCACCGGGATGCGCTTGCGGCAGCCCAAGTTGAGCATGACAGAGTCCGCGAGATAGCGCTGAAGGCCTACGAGCTGAATGAGCTCCGGAAGGACCAGCTAAGGCTGCGACAAAGCGCCCAGCGAGAGGAAGAACGGGTTCGACTCGAAACGGCGCGGGCATTGGAGGAGATTCGCATTCGTGAGATTGAGAATCGAGCCAAACGAATACCGAAACCCCCTCCACGAGAACCAACCCCTCCTCCGCCATCCCCTCCTCGCTCTCTGCCCTCAAAAGTGACCCCGCCTACATCCGCTCAGCCTCCAGCTACAGTTCCACAACCAGAGCCCCAAGTCAAACAGCAACCTCCACCCGAACCAGTCTCCCGTGAAGCGCCGACTCAGAAGCCTTTTTTGGCAGCGCCTCAACCTCCAGTACAGGCTCCTGCACCTCCTGTGCCGAAACCCCAGGCAGCTCCAGTTCAACCTCCTACGCAAATTCCCCCGCAGATTCCCACCACGAGCGCCCCAGCACAGCCTCATGTCCTCCCCGGGGTAGAACGATATATTGAAATACACAAGAACCTAAAGCAACTACGTCTATTTATTACCAATGCTGGGAAACACAACGTTGCATTCAAAAAGAAAACGGGAGAAATGCGGCGGGCCATCCGACAGTCAGTAGGCCAATTGACGGAAGGGAAGGGCGCGAATAAACAACCGGTATGTGTTCCTTGCTGGTAACTCCAAGATATCAACTAATGGGTTTCCCAGCTTAACAAGATCGTCGAGCTCCTGAGACAATCCCTCACAACGGTCCAGAGTCCCCCGGCGGATCCGAGCATGGTCATGCTCACAAAACCCGAACCCAGCGAAGGAGCCAAGTATAATGGCGATAGCATGCCAGCACTATTTATTTACCTCCTCAACGTCTTCGCCAAATCCGTTGTTGCACAATTCATCGATGAAGCTGGTGTAGCACCCAAGGCCGCGGACCCGGTAGGCGTAGTCGCAGTATCAGTATTCTCCCGCGAAGAATTCTACTGGCGCAACACACCGCTCATAGACATCCTAATCGCCAAAATACGCGTTGTCTGCCCGGTGTTATTCGGACTTCGAGGCAGCGAGAAAACGGAAGAAGGGAGAGCAAGGCTGGGCTGGAGAAAGGAGGGCGGCAGTTGGGTCACCGATCAAATCCACAATACTCGCATGACCGGTCTAGGAGCTGGGTACGCCGCTTTATGTCTAAGGGATTTCTCAAAGTCGAAACTTCAAAACCCGTGGCCTCCAACTCATTATTGGCAAACCGTGGCAAGTATAGTCAGTACGCCACCGGACCAAGCATCTCCCACGCAATACATGGTTCTCAAATCCCTCATCGAGAACTATGAGATGAAATTCTTGGCATTTTATGGCAGTGCCGCAAGGGCAGCTTTGAGGATCGCTTTGGTGGAATTTCCCGCCCGGGCTATAGAGCACAACGTTGCGGTTAGTTCGTTGAAAGTTCTAGGCGATAAGCTGAATAGGGATATGGGGCTACAATTGCAGTAGTAAAACTACTTTGCTATTCATGTACATTTTTTTAAGCCTGGACTAGGTGTTGGAAAGGGAATCGGATGGGGCGTTGGGGAGTTACGTTCCGCGGGCGTTATTTTGATATGGATGATGTCTGCTCGTAAAGAGATAAGGCAGTATGGATGGACTATTTGTCGTCACCTACGCGTTGACTGAGAGAAGTTGATAGATCATAGTCGGGGAAATGGAATTTACGAAAATTTTCTCCATCTATCAACCAAGCTAAAATTGGTGGTGTCTATTAAGATTCTTTTTGAAGCCTTTACAGATTATTATGCGTTCTCTTTACTCGGATTGGCTAGGCTGTAGGTGCAAGGTCATCTAGACGGCGTGGGGGAGTCCGTGAGCGCGGAAGATGTGTGCGGAATGCAACAAACACCGAGGCTTTATTCATGAGAGTAAATGGTAGTCTCAGGTCGAGTAAGCAAGTGCGGCAGCTACATACTGAGGCAGTAAATCAGATATTGGCCGATCACAGGAGACCTCTACGTGATGTACCGCAGGCTACACCCCGAGGCAGGGGAAACCTATTGTGATGCTGAACCTATGTGCATTTCGTATTCTAACTAGTCTCCTCGAATCGACTATTAACTATCGGTCTCAGTCACCTCACAATTAGAGAAACAATCTGCATAGCATAGTTGGCAATATCAAATACTAGGCTCCAGCATAGTGGGTTTGCTTGCAAAATCGAACCCGCAATTTCGAGACCCAGGTTACGAATTCCGCAAATATTAATATTGGTCGTCGTTCTCAGGAACGTCCCTATTTTTAAGATTATACATATCTGCGTTTCTTTACTCGGGAATTGTCCCGAGAATGAGTGCTGTCACGATTTACGCCCATCCACCCGCACAAGGCATCAGTTCTCTCCACCTTCGAATGCAGATTTTCGTGACGATCAACCCATTCCAACCAACTTGTACTCCCGTACGGCCCAACCTAGGAATGCAAGAGACCCCCAGTCCCTCCTCGATACCCAATATATTAAGGTCTTTGAAACTAACAGACGTAGGCTCTGGGCGAGGTCGACCTTCCGACCAAAGCTTTTGGTAAACAAAGGCTCTCATCGAACATTTCTTCTCGCCGTCCTAAATGCAGATAGGTTTGAATATCCATTCCTCGTTCCTAATTATAGCTCTCAATTCCTTTTGCTGAGATTTTACATGCCAGAGCCCATCCGTTGCGCAGGTTACCCTCACATTCCGCGGCTTGTTTATCAAGTACAGACTATGACTTTTCTCCACTCTATACTTTCCACAAAGGCAGAAGCCGTAATTGGGCCATGGGATTACAGGTGCTATGTCGTACATCCATATCAATCCAAATATGTACCCCTATTCCTCGAATACGTATATAAGGTATGCTTCGAGCACACGACAGAGGGCTGAAGCATGAACTCGCTCCAGGGCATTTATATATTCATTTATTTATGGCCAGTCAGTAGTTATATACTTTACAGGATTTAATGCCTATCTACACTTGTATTTGATGAGTTGATGGTTATGGTGGCTGGCGTACGGTTTGCTACGCAACGAATTCCTGCACAGGAATAAATTTGAAAAGTTTATAATATGTATAATACTGATGAATCACTAATGAACTGTGGAGGATCATAAAAAATGTACTATTGGCAATTATGATCTCCGAGCTTTTAGAGGGCGAACTATAACGGAGGTTGCGGAAGTGTCAAAGCGAGGAGGGGCTCAGGGCGCTGAATCGACGGGGTACATTCGACCATAGGCAGGACATCTTCTTGTCAAGCTAGAATTGGACGAAACTAGCTTTAACTAAGCAGCTATCGAATGTAGTTTATTTTCTTAAACTTAACATTTTATTTCTCGGTCGAAGGGTTGGCATAATAAATATGGTTTAAATAACTTTTGAATATTCCTGTGCTAAGTAAACGAGAGCTTGATATAATATGAATATATTCCCTGCTATTTTATAGTTCCTCTTCAGCACTATTAACCACAAAGACTTCTCAATACGCGGTGGACATATTATCCCGTTAAACCCCCTCCCCTTTATAAATTTTGTTAACTCGTTAATTAAACCATAATTTCCACCCCCCCCCTCCCTCTTTATTTTTATATTCGCAAACGCGCAATACCCTACAAACCAACCACACTCCTTCCTACGTATAACCTATTCCTTGATAGTTAGAGGATAATTCCACTTAATCGCTACTATTAGTAGAAATCCAAAATCTACATCTATTTCCTTTTCTTTTTATTTCAAATAGATAATTTATTAGTATTTTACCATTACTACTCTAACCACGTAGTACTCCAATGCTTCTTTCTCAACACTATATTTCCTCCCTACTAATTCCGAGCATTATATTACATCTTCAACAAAAAAACCAACATCTAATTATAAATCCCAAACCGACACAACTAACAATTTGTTTTATCATATAACCGGAGGCCAATCTAGTCACATGACATGACCAATCCTCACCACGTACAAGAATTCAATTCAGTCCTGGCCAGATTTCAGGTTAATTCAATGGAAAATTCATAATACGTAACGAGAATCTATCGTAGCCTTGAATTTATAACAAGTCGATGAATTCTCGCCTTGGTAATTGACCATAGATCGGATAAACCTCATAGGTATATCTTAGCTAGCTCGCTTACAAGCCCCCTACGTCATGTAGAATAAATAGAAAAGATACCTAAGGTAGGTACATTAATTCCCCGAAGATTCCCCGTGGGGAACCTAACATCCATCCCACTTAACCTCTGTGCTGGCGGGGCCATCCTCTCATAATAGGTAGTCCCTCAATTCAGTTTACTTTGCACCTACCTAGAATAACTCAAATCACCAGTATTATTGAAAGACACAGAAGAAGAAATCAGCCAGCTCTATAAAAACAACAACAACATGACGTCAAAAATCCTCAGCAGCACCATCCTGCTAAACAATGGCCTTAAAATGCCCCGGCTCCATCTCGGTGTCTACATGACCATGGGAGATGAGTGCGTACAAGCGGTAACGCACGCGCTCGAGGCTGGCTACCGGGCGTTCGACTCGGCGGAGTGGTATGAGAATGAGCGGGAGGTCGGCCAGGGGATTAGCTCCTATGTGGCTGCGCAGAAGGGATTGACGAGGGAGGATGTGTGGTTTACGACGAAGTTGATGAGTAATGTGGGGTATGAGGAGACGAGGAGGAAGATTAGGGAGAGTGCGAAGGAGAGCGGGTTGGGGTATTTGGATTTGTATTTGCTGCATAGTCCGTATGGCGGGAAGGAGATCAGGTTGGAGTGTTGGAGGGCCGTGGCGGATGCGGCGAAGGAGGGCGAGATCAGAGCTGGTGGGGTTAGTAATTTTGGGGTTAGACATGTGAGTATTTCCCCTATATCTCATTTGTACCCGTTTTTGAATGTTTTTGTTTCGTTTGTTGTTGGCTCTTGGGGGTGAGCGAGTGAGCGAGAGAGCCAATCTTGGATGCACGCTGATACCCATCCCTCTCAGCTCCAAGAACTCCTCGACTCAAAACCCAAACTCATCCCAGCGGTCAACCAAATCGAGGTGCATCCGTTCAACACAAGAACAGACATCGTTCAGTTCTGCAAGCAGCACGGCATCGTGATCGAGGCGTACGCGCCGCTGGCTCGAACATTGCGTATGAGCCACCCGACCATTGTCCAGCTGTCCAAGAAATATAGCTGTACCTGGGCGCAGCTGATGGTGAAATGGAGCTTGCAGCATGGATATGTGCCGTTGCCCAAGAGCGTGAATAAGGAGCGGATGGTGAGCAATGCGGCTGTGGATGGGTTAGAGATTGACGCGGAGGATATGAAAACTTTGGATGGCCTGGACGAGGTGCTGGTCACGGATTGGGATCCCACTGATGCGGATTAGAGGACACTTCCTGCAGACACCATCCCTAACTTGACGATACTTTTTTTTTTTTGACGACAAGACAAACTCGCAGCGCGCCTGGTGGAAGCACATGGAGGATTTGAATATTTTGTGCCCCGAGACCCCGAGACCCTGAGATCCTGCCTGAACAATGTGGAAGTTTTTGTTTGGTTGAAGTCGGGCAAACAAACCCCTTCTTGCCCACCTTAGCTACCTGGGTAGTGTATGTATGTGCTGTACATGAAATTCGAAATCGGACCGCAGAACGGCGACCTGAATACGAAGAAAGTCAGGCAAGGCAAGGTAAGCACCGGTGAGCGGTGGGCTATCCGGACCGATGGCGAGAAATGAGGATGGAGGACGAGGATAAATGAAATGAAATAGTAATAAGAACAATAATGAAAAATGGTGGTGACGCGGTGCAGGCCGCCCCGAGGCTGCACCCGGCGGATCCCGACCTTGCTGTTGGTAATTGAAATGTGTAGGACTGGGCGGGCAAGATAAGGAACCGACACCAACACCGACGCAGGAGAAGCGGAGATTGAACTCTGCAGAGGGTCCGACTCGGGCGCGGCGGGGGACTCCGGGTGGATGACTAGCGGAGGGCGGACGAGGCTGAGGGCGGTCGGTGGAAAGAGAAATATTGGAAAAAAGAACCATATTGGGGATACTTGCTGGCTTCTGTATGGCTGGCCTCGTCTGAAGCAGCGGGTCAACCAGCGCCGAGGACCCCTACAATGCTCTGCATCGCTGCATGTGGGTGGGTGTCAGGGTTGTAGGGAGGTCAAGGTTGGACGCCTGCACGCAGCTGTACTCGAGTATTAAAGGCTGTCCGAGACCGGTGATACACCCAGAGCCCAACTCCCTGCATCGGGAATTTGTGCGTGTGGCAGCGGCCGGGGCGGGTCCAGAACTGGGTGACAAAGTTGACAACAAACAACAAACAACTGCGAAGGAGTGAGGTCCAGGTCCCCTTTGTTTTTTGCCTCGAGTTTTATTGGAACGGGGGAGAGAGTCCGAGGGAAAGGGTAGGGGAGGCTACAATAATGGGGCTTACAGTACTCGTATGTACTGTACATGTACATTTTAGATATAGTACATCCTGTATAGAATGCACGACTTTTAATTGCCCTGGAGCGAGCGAGAAGCGCCGCAGTGAGTAAGTAGGTATATACAAGAAGATGCCACCGAGAGAAAAAGACGTACGACCTGAAGGGGAAGCCGAGGGTACGGAGGTACTTACGGAGTGCTGTATGGAGCCTGGAGCGCTGAACTTGGAGGTTGGAGGCTTGGAGCAGACTCTGTAGAGTACGGAGTTACTACGTAGTATGTACTGCACGCAGAAGGTACGAAGGCCCGAATACTTGGTATTGTACGGATTACTTGGTACGAGTTGCGGTACCTGGGACTTGGTGGGAGTGGCGAGAGTGGCGACTCTGGCGAAGAGACCACCGTCCCGATTCCTCCCGATGGGGCCGGGGGAGCCGCAGAAGAACACTTCACTTCCCGTCTACAAGTCCCAGAACATTTACTATTGACAGCACGCACTAACTGGCATGATTAAACCTGGAGAAGGGTGAAGAATGGGGTACTGTACAAATTAAAGTACACGTACGGTACGGTACGGTACATGCAAATTATGGGGAATAATGGGGAATGGAGAATGGAGAATGGATAATGGGGGAATCGAGGGAATGTAATCATTATTCATGGATAACGGGTAATGGGTAATGGAAAATGGATAATGGGTAATGGGTATCATCGTGTCTTTATCTCCTCCCTGTTCCCATCGGGCTATCCGCCCCGAACTCCCCTTGCCCTCGCTGCAGGCCCCCCCTGCCGCCCGCCGAGGCTCGCTTCCACCGCCCACATCGCGTGCAGCCGGTGGCGCTGTTTGCATTGGCCAACCACCGCGCCGCGATAACATCAATGACATCGGCCTTTTATCAACGCCATCGGCAGCTGCTTCCGCGGGTGCAAGGCGGTGCAGACGATGCAGATGGGTGCAGCCGGGTTGCAGATTGGGGTGCAGGCGGTGCAGTTTGGGTGCAGTCGGTCTGCAGTGTACCTAGGGGAAGAATGCAGATGGAAGCATTCCTGGGTTGGCCCCCCCCTCGTCGTACGCTGTACAGAACTTTGTACGCTGTGTGCGGTACCAATAGCTTATTACTGTATGGATGGAGTAACTACTGTACTGTATGCACCATGTATTACTCTAGACGGTTACATGTACCAATCCGCTGGGGAGATTATCATAGTACTGTACTGTACTGTACTTCGTATAATAAGAAGAATAAGAATAGTACTCGGAGCACTGTATAAAGAAATACACCACCCCGTCTTTGCCCCACGTCCTCGATGCACAACGGTGGCCCCTCCCCCCGTCCCATCCCATCCAGCCCCCCCGATCGCGGCGATAGAAAAGATGCAACAAGCAGATGGGACTAATGGCTATAGCTCCCCTCCCATTGGACCACCCGTGGCGGTTTGCAGACCTTCGAACAGTTCATCGCAGAGGGAAATCCCGGATGCGTACGTAGCTTGATGCTCTAGTCTCTACGGAGGTACAGCCCATAAGTATAGTAACAGCGGACAAGGGTCTGAACGCAACAGGCGATTTCAACACTTGATAACTTTTGATATACACAACCAAAAAACTTCATTTAAGCACGAAAATAATGCTAATGAGGAGGACTATACACTTCTCCTTTTTCACGTTTTGGTGATGCGTTGTGGTTGTGATGCAAGGGGAGTAAAGTGAGATCCCTGCTAGCGCTATTACTATACTTATGGGCTGTACCTCCGTAGTCGCCTCGAACTAGGTGGCCCTTCTAGATAACCCAAAACCACCGACGTCGCTGGATGGCCCTACGAGCGCCTACGGAGTATGGAAAAGTTGCAAATCCAACACCAGGCAGAATCCGAATGCTTAATGCAAATCCCTCCCCTCTGCCCCTCTGCCCCTCTGCCTGTCTCTTATACACATCTAGATGTGTATAAGAGACAGCCCTTCCCCCCTTCCTCGCCCCCCCAGTGCAGTAGATTCACCACACGTCAATTAACCCAGCACCCCTGATATCCGCCGCCACAGCCTTCTTTTCCTCTACCAGACACCCAGCTCCGATCTGCATTATTGGTTGGTCCGGGTGCGTGGTTGTGGCTCCCCATCCTCCTCCCCCCCCCCAATCCACGTCGTCCCCTGGCTTCCTCGCTCCGACAAGCCTTCTAAATAACTTTCTAGGTTCCAAGCTTCCACCCCCCCCACCCCACCACACTCTACATAAAAGAACTGCCCGTCCCTCTTCTCTTCCGAGAAAACCATTCCCTCGCCATCTTCACTCACTCTCTGTCTCTCGAACCTCCGCCTCGCCATTCAAGCCTACCGAACTTCCTTGCCTTTGAGTTCACTCCCAGAGACGTAGCTGTTCTTCATATCACCAACCCACCCACCCACCACCATGTCTAACCTTCCAACCGAGCCCGAGTTCGAGCAGGCCTATAATGGTAATTTGATCCCCCCTCCCCCACCCATAACCTGGACCCGGCCATTGCGAATATATCAAAAATCAAAATCAACAAGTAGACTGACAATTCGCCTCCCTCACAGAACTCGTCTCCACCCTCGATAATAGCACCCTCTTCGAGCAGAGCCCCGAGTACAGAACTGCCCTGAAGATCGTCTCCATCCCCGAGCGCGTCATCCAGTTCCGCGTCGTCTGGGAGGATGACAACCTCCAGCCCCAGGTCAACCGCGGCTACAGAGTCCAGTTCAACTCCGCCCTCGGCCCCTACAAGGGAGGTCTCCGATTCCACCCCACGGTCAATCTGTCCGTTTTGAAGTTCTTGGGCTTCGAGCAGGTCTTCAAGAATGCCCTGACTGGCTGTAAGTTCTTGCTCCATTGGTTAGCCATGGAACTTCCAACTGATATCCGAAATAGTGAACATTGGAGGTGGCAAGGGAGGAGCTGATTTCGACCCCAAGGGAAAGTCTGACAATGAGATCCGTAAATTCTGCGTGGCCTTCATGCGTGAGCTGAGCAAGCACATCGGCGCAGATACCGATGTCCCAGCAGGAGATATTGGTGTTTCCGGACGTGAGATCGGATGGCTCTTCGGCGCTTATAAGGCGCAGACCAACAAGTGGGAGGGTGTTCTCACTGGAAAGGGTGGCAACTGGGGAGGAAGTTTGATCCGTCCTGAGGCGACTGGATATGGTCTCGTCTACGTTCGTGCTCCTTGCGTCCTTTTTCCCCTATAACCTCCGCTAACAGAGATTTAAACAGTATGTCAATCACATGATCGCATATACCGGCCAAGGTTCATTCCAAGGCAAGACCGTCGCCATTTCCGGCTCCGGAAACGTCGCCCAATACGCTGCGCTGAAGTGTATCGAGCTGGGTGCAACCGTCGTCTCCCTTTCCGACAGCAACGGCTCGCTCATCGCCAGCACCGACTCCCCCATCACCCCCGACGACATCCAGGTTATTGCCGCGTTGAAGGTCAAGCGCCAGTCGCTCACCGACTACCAAGGCAAACACAGATACATCGCTGGTGTCCGTCCCTGGACTCACGTCCAGGTTGACGTTGCGCTCCCCTGCGCCACCCAAAACGAGGTCAGCAAGGAGGAAGCCGAGGCCCTGATCGCCTCGGGCGCGCGCTTCATCGCCGAGGGCTCCAACATGGGCTGCACACAGGAGGCTATCGATGTATTCGAGGCCAACCGCCGAAGCCAGCAGGACAAGGCAATCTGGTACGCACCCGGCAAGGCCGCCAACGCCGGCGGTGTTGCCGTTTCCGGACTCGAGATGGCCCAGAACTCGCAGCGCATGAGCTGGTCCGCCGAGGAGGTCGACGAGAAGCTCAAGGGCATCATGGAGGCTGCGTTCAAGAACGGAGTCGAGACCGCGAAGAAGTACGTCAAGGGCGGGGAAGGAGAGTTCCCATCGCTGGTTGCCGGTAGCAACATTGCCGGCTTCGTCAAGGTCGCGGCTGCCATGCACGACCAGGGCGATTGGTGGTAGATTGGCCGTTCTGCTCTTTTTTGGTTTGATACTAAAAGCGCGTGCGTGCATTGGTGGTGCGAAATTGACGATGTATGAGCGAAGGGACGCAGACCGAGTCTGTTGTAGTTTGGTTTTTTGGGAAAATTGCCGGCTGCCATACCCCCCTTTTTTGTTTGCTTGCTAGCTTTTCATCTTTGCAAGGCGCCATGTTTTGGGGATAAACAACGAATCTTTTTGGGCTGGTTGGATGTTTTTTTTTGTTAGCCGGTGGGGGTTATCTGCTTGGGATAGCGATCGGTTAGGATATGATGATGGGTAGCGATGGTTTATGGCCACGCTACTTTGTAAATACCATAGTTAAAAAAAACATTTATATAAAGTAACCTTTGTGTTCCTCGTCAGTGACTTTTGTATGCTGATGGTAACTAGATCCTAAGTCTCATTAGTAGTGATTTCGAGTCGATAGTTTCATGCTCTACTAAGATCGTAATACCCTATATAGGTATCGAGTTATTGGTTGTATAGTACGTACCGAAAAGCAATTAAGCTCAAAACCAAGCTTTCAGTACATGAGTGGCTATTCTCCAGTAGCCAATTGGCCTCATGCAGTTGTAAATCATCAGACACCCTTGAGCCTAACTTGAACAAGAACCTTTTAACAATTGAGAAAAGAAAAGGGCCATACCTAATCAAGCAATCCTTAACATCATATGTTCATGGCGGGGTATCCTGCTGTCGTGGGAGGGCCACTCACTCCCAAATCTAAGACCGAGGCTTCACTCGCGGGAAGGATCGGAATCAAGTATTTCCTCAGCCAACCCTTCTTCCCTTCCCAGAAAAACAGCTCCGACAAAACTCCAGCTTTGCTATACTGCGTAATTGATATACACTCATGCCAAAAAAGTCTCTCCCACCAAAAAAAAGTCACCCTTAAAGCATAAAGCCGACATGGCCCATCCATCCTTGGCGCGAAGTTATTCCCGACCACCCCACCAACCCTATAACCGACGACTGCCCCTCTACCACGTAGTTCAAAAAGGACCCCCTTTCCTCACTATGAAGAATTTCCCTGCGCTGTGCAAGTTCTTGATATTCCGGGGATAGGATAGGATAGTAAGAGAAGGATGAAATGCTTACTGCGCGCGTGCGGGACGGCACTGGGGAATACTACGCCGAGATGCACTGCGAGGAGGGGTTTTGGGATTCAGACTCAGACTCAGACTCAGACTCGGGCTCAAAGGAGGAAGGCGTCGACGAGGGCCGGGAAGGGGTTGAAATATCCGGTGGCTGATCACCATTATGAGTATGTATTCCTTTGCTGCGTTTGTCGGATTGAGGCTCATTCGTTTGGTAGTGCGATTGTTGTTGGTGCTGGAGGGGCCGGTCTACGTGCGGCTGTTGGGTTGGCCGAGTCGGGGTTGGAGACTGCTTGTATAACTAAACTGGTATGTTTTATACCTTTTCTCGATCTTCTGTTCGTTTGTTTCGTTATCAAGGGCTTTCTTGGGGTTGTTTTGAGGAGTTCTAGATCTAAGGTTCATATATTGTCATGTGATTAACCCCCCTTTATAGTTCCCTACTCGATCCCATACCGTTGCCGCCCAAGGAGGTATAAATGCAGCTCTGGGGAATATGACAGAAGGTACATCATCCCCATTATCAGGAACCCCTAGAAATACTTATAGGATTCTAGATGATTGGCGCTGGCACATGTACGACACAGTCAAGGGGAGCGATTGGTTAGGTGACCAAGACGCAATCCACTACATGACGCGCGAAGCCTCCAAAGCCGTCTATGAGCTAGAAAACTACGGCATGGCTTTCTCTCGGACGGAAGATGGACGGATCTACCAACGTGCCCTAGGAGGCCAATCCTTAAACTACGGCAAAGGAGGGCAGGCGTACCGGACAGCATGTGCTGAAGATCGAACCGGCCATGCTATGTTGCACACGCTGTACGGTCAGAGTCTGAAGCATGATACTAACTTTTTTATCGAGTATTTCGCCCTGGACCTCATAATGGTCGACGGGGCTTGCGCGGGCGTGATATGTTTGAGCATGGAAGATGGGACGATCCATAGGATGTTTGCGCGGAACACCGTCCTCGCCACGGGAGGCTACGGAAGAGCGTATTTCTCTTGCACATCAGCACATACCTCCACCGGCGATGGAAACGCCATGGTAGCACGAGCAGGCTTGCCAAACCAAGACATGGAATTCGTACAATTCCACCCTTCCGGCATCTACGGCGCTGGAGTGCTCATCACCGAAGGCGCTCGGGGCGAAGGTGGGTACTTATTAAACGGAAATGGGGAGCGCTTCATGGAGCGCTATGCGCCCACAGCAAAGGATCTCGCATCCCGAGACGTAGTCTCGCGCTCAATGAACATGGAGATCAAAGCCGGGCGCGGCTGCGGACCAGAAAAAGACCATATCCACCTCCAACTCTCCCACCTACCCAAGGAAATCATCCGCGAGCGACTCCCCGGTATTGCGGAAACGGCAAGTATCTTCTCCGGCATAGATATTACCAAAGAGCCCATCCCGGTGCTCCCAACGGTTCATTATTGCATGGGTGGTATCCCTACGAATTACAAAGGCCAGGTGATATCCGTCGCTGAAGATGGGAAGGAGAAGACAGTCCAAGGCCTATATGCCGCTGGCGAGGCAGCATGTGTCTCGGTCCACGGCGCGAATCGTCTTGGGGCCAATTCATTACTTGATATCGTAGTGTTTGGCAGAGCGGCAGCTTTACACATCGCGGAAAATAACGACAAGGGAGCACCACATATTCAAGCTCCAGAAGACGCGGGCAATCAATCCCTGGAGGACCTCGAGAGGATAAGAACCGCTTCAGGCGATATCCCCAGCGCTAAGCTCCGTCTCGACATGCAGAAAGCAATGCAAACCGACATCGCCGTGTTCCGCACGCACGACTCCCTCTCCTCGGGCTACTCCTCCGTGCAGCAGGTCGAGCGGGATTTCCTCGAACGCCTCAGTGTGACGGATAGGAGTCTGATCTGGAACAGCGATCTGGTTGAGACGCTGGAGATGCGGAATTTACTAACGTGTGCAAGTCAGACCGCGAGGAGTGCGTTGGATAGGACGGAGAGTCGCGGGAGTCATGCAAGGGAGGATTTCCCCGACCGTGATGATGCGCGCTGGATGCATCATACGCTGAGTTGGCAGAAGGAGGGAGAGGATGTAAGGCTTGGATATAGGGATGTTGTTATGAATACCCTGGATGAGACTGAGTGTGCTAGTGTGCCGCCTATGACGAGATCATATTAGAATAGAAATAAAATGTATAAGATAGATTTAGGCTTCCCAAGGAGTTTTCGTTTGCTTTTTTTTACTCCTCGGATAGGTATGGATCTCAGTTTTAAATAAATTGTGGGAGATGTCGTAGACATACTCTCGTTATTTTGAAGGCCGTCGAGGTGGGCTATGCTGGCTAGGCAACAAATCCATCTAGACTACGACTCCTCTCGGTTCCAAGGTGTCCTCGCATTTCTTATTTTGCTTGCTTCCTCGAGCTCCTTGCTTAAATCGCCCCCTAATCGCTTCCGAACCGTTCAGATGCCCAAAACGCGACATGCAAACAAAAGCATGTCCACTGCTATTTTCGGGAATAATATTCGGTCACGTGATATGATGTAACCTCTTTCTCTATAGGTACATCAATACCTTAGGCTTTCAGATCGATAGTTTCCCCATACTAGCATAATGTTTACTAAAATACTACCAAATTACAAACTTACGCGTCCGCGAAAGAGACGACGCAGGCTTAGGCTTGAGCTAAAATCAAAGGAAAGTGAGAGACACTAAAGCCCCATACGGACATTTAACATATCTTTCTACTTAATTCTCCTCCTCCGTCCATATGGATATAATTATATTCTAGGGGTATTCTAGGCTTCCTACCAGTAGGCGCCTTATCTAAAGCCAAGATCAATTCCTCCAGATTTCCTAGTCAATACTAGCGTTCCCCAATAGAGAGCATCAAACGACCAAAAGATTTACGCAAACCCCATCCCATCCCCCAAATCCTGTCCATCCCCAAAACCGTCCAACAAGTCCCCACCATGATCCCCCCCCATCAAACCACTCATAAGCCCTTGATCATCCCCTAGCACTCCATCCATTCCCTGTGCATCACCCAGTCCACCAGCTCCGCCAACATCACTCATACCAACCCCCGCCATCCCGCTATCGACATCCATCCCACCTGCAGCGGCATCAAGAGCCTGATCCAAGGCCCCAAGTCCGCCATCATCCGCCATCAACGTCTGCTGCGGCATAGCCAACTGCGCTTCTGTTTTCCTATACAGTCTTATGATGGTTTCTGCATGGAAAGGGTCCGTTTTGTGGACCTTGGGTGCATTGTCCGCCTCGAATTTTAGCGCTTCACGGAGATTCATACGCCTTTGTAAAGGTTGTATGGGGTTCTCGCCTAGCATACCCAGACCTCCGAAAGCAGCATCCCAGCTTGCAGCATCAGGAGCACAGATAAGAGCTGTAGCCACATCAATGGCTACACTACCATTGCCCGTCTCTTCTTGGGTTTTGACCTCCTCGATGATTACATTCAAGATACGTTTGGCACCGAGCATCTTGACTGCGACCAAGATCTGACGATGGGTGTAGTTTGCTGGATTGATATTAATCCCTGGGTTGAGCCCCCATTGGATAAGGTTTTGCATGGTGTTCCGCACGGCCGCGGTGAGTCCTCCGCCAGCTGTGCTCGTCCATATCTCCAGCTCTGTGTGCTCGCTGGCACCACGACGCTCCCAGCCCAGGTTGCCGCTCAGGGCTTTCAACAGTGGCGCGATGTCTTGTCGGGATGGTTCGGCTTTTTGAAACCATCGGAGACTATGCTCTAGATCCTTGGCGATGATGTTCAAAATGGAGTTTAGCATCTGTGATGCCTCGGTGTTGTTAGATATCGAGGTTGGGTTCATGATGAGTGCAGAAAGGATTTGGAGTACAGCGTTGGCATCGCCACGAGATTCCCATAAGTGGGCAGAAAGCCATGTGATGCCCGGGATAAGAGATGGGAGAAGAAACGTATCGACTAGATATTCAAGTCCTCCTTTGAGGGCTTCATCGGAGAGGTTTTTAGTTGAACAGGCTAGGACAATGTGATGGAAGAGGGTTGGCACTAGAAGATAGAAGTCCTGTGGCGGGCAAGACGACATCAATTCATCGCCGAGACCGCCACTCTCATTGTCAAATAATCCTCTGATCCAACCATCTAAGTGATTTTGTTCCTGGTCGGTGAGATCTTCCATGGCCCGGCTGAGGTGGCCATGGGTTAGAAGTTGCGCGACAAAAGAGTCTGGTGTACGGATACCACAGTCGAAAGTTGACAAATTATATCGATGCGCAAAGGAGAGCACCAAAAGTAAAATCGAGCCAAACTCCTCATATACAGGCTGGTATTCGCCTTGGTCGTCGTCGTAACGCCAGTTATCCAGTACATCGCAGATGGGTTGGAGGATCGTGGTCGGCTTGTCAAATAAAAGCATGACATCGAGAGATGCTGGTTTTCTGGCCAGTTGGCTGCAAAGACCTTTCAATGACATTGTTTCCTTGTCATTGCATAGCCTTCCCATCACCTAGGAATGTTAACACACCACCTCACCAAGAGAAATGGACATATATACTTCAGTGATCGCTTGGCTAACAGCACCCACGTTGCCATCCATATGCTCCAACTCATCAATCAACCCTTCTGCTCGTTCAGGATCAGATAGATATTGCTGCACCAAGTCATCCTTTACATATCTCCCGCCAGCTGGAAGACTTTGCAACGGTACATCGCCTAACAGAGTCTCGATGCTGGTTTCAGCAATGAGACCATGCAGACAACAGGCAAAGCAAAAGTCTTGCCGCACAGAATCAGAAAACAGATTGTTTGTACTCGATTCATCAAACATATTTGAAAATGTCGGGAAAGCGTTTGTATCAACGTGGTTTAGTGCCTCTGTGATGCAGTACTCGGATGTTAGAGGCGGGAATAACGACGATGAGAGTGTTGCTAATAGTAAAGGGACTTTGTTAATTAGGAATGATTTCAGGAGTGTCGTAGCTTGAATGCGTTCATTCCGGGACGCAGCATCAGCTAAAATATCAAAAGACGCAAGAATTAAATCATTCATAGTAGATTGGATGTCGCCCTAGAGCAATGAGCTTGTGATCGTGAAAGCGACCTGACGACTTACCTGATATCGGTTATGTAGATATGCAAATATGGCATTGTCGTCGATCAACGGCCTACCCACAAGCTATAATGGGTCAGTTTATGACTCGGATATGATGTTGAGCTGCTCACCAATGCGTTCAAATAGATATATAAACCAGCTCTTGAATTTAGAGTGGGCAAATCCTCTACCACCACACTGTCGATTCCTAATCCTATGCCCTCATCCAGAATGTCATCTATTTCCTTGTTGGCGGATATTTCCTTCTTATCCACAGGTTCAATGGACACCAGCGTTTGCGTTCTAAATACCTCCAACCTCGCTGCACTTAGGCTTTGGGGATTGCTCTGCAACAAGATAGCTATCAAATTCCCCAGTGTCTCCGACAGCTCTTTTCCCGTTCCTTTAGGCACACTTCCTTTACTTAGCGCACTTAGCACCTGTGCATTCTCCACAACAGCAACAACCAGCGTGCCCAGCGCCATGATTTGGGCATTCAGCTCAGGCACGTGGCTTCCACTCAGTTCCAGCACATCCTGAGCAGCGCTATTCGCATTGGCAACAACCACCATCCATTGAATGCATACTAGAATCAATGCGACGGCTTCTTGGATATTCTTTGGAGATGTGCCAGACGAGACATGTTTAGCCAATCGGTAGAAAAGCACCTCCTCCGCAGCGTATGAATCCGACCACCTCTTAACGCTGTCCTTCTTTTGCCCTTGTGCCTCTCCATCTTTACCGCCTTCTCTTTGTCTATCACTTATACCATGGACAACATCGGTTGCCCCCGAAGCAGTCGAGTACCGTAATAACGCTCTCAATAAACTCGGCACAGTAACCAGCTCGAGTCCTAGCAGGATCTGGACATATCTCGGTATTCGTGGGTCCAAGGAGGCGCTGTTCGATTCGGTAGGCCCCAGGAAAATGTCGCTCGTCCGCGACGCAGGCAGAGGGTGTTTTGAGGCCAGAATCTGAACGTAGGACTCGAAGTCGGGGGCTTCCAGACGTGTCGCGAGGCTGTGGTTGAGGAAGGTGCGCCAGGTCGACAGGGCAGACATCGTTGGGTTCAATCACGCGCTGCCGAAGCCGCGGAGACCAATTGCATAATGTTGGCAAATCGAGCGGAGGAATGTAGACCGCTATTGAGTATACGCGCGACGAAGGGTTGCAAATGTTGGAGATGTGAAGTTACAACGAGTGGGCGGAAGCGAAAGTCATGGCCTCATGGTTCAGCCCTGCGATCGTTCGGTTCTCCACTGCTGCGTACAGGCCTAGACTCTTTCCAAATACAATACCTACTCAATTTACGATTAAATTTTTAAGAGTGGGAAGTACTAGACGGCTAGTAGCATGACGAAACATCGGAAGTATATTATTTATAGTAAGTAAACTTGATGGGGTTCTATGAAATCCCGAGTTTTAAATACACTCTAATACAAGCCGTAACAATGCGCTTATTCCCTCGCAAGAAAATCCAGGCAACTTTGAGTTATAGATATAAAACCAATGTAGACTTCAATTAAAGGTATAAATGTGCAACTCTGCCTCTTGTATATACAAAAGCTGGAAGATCACGAGGAGAAAGGGAGAGTGCAGCTCGGTTCCAAAATCCAATAGTCCTCTATTGAAGCGCGAGATGGCAACGGATTCAACTACGAAAGAAGGAAGGGCACAACGATCACAACGATCACAGCGATGACAAGCGATGACCATAGTGACAAGCAATGGCAATGACGACGACGACGATGGCGAAGATGGCAAGGACATTAGTTAATTAATAGATCATGCAGATTTGGGATTTAATAAACATAGCTGTCCGTCCGCCCCCTCCTTGATATTTAGAGGCGTTTGGAACCGAAAAATGTGTTCTATGTCTATTGGTGTCCCCCGAAAAAGACAAATTCCACCCAACAAGATGATAACAAAATATTTATTAGTCAATCATTATTCGTGCCACGTCCAATTCCATATGCTGCCGATCAATACCCCACAAACCATCGCTCTATATTAGCCCTGTGATTCCCTCTTGCCTCCAGGAGGCAGGTTCATTATATCCGGCGCTCGCGGTCCCAACATCCAGTCTTGCATCGCGAGCCACTCGCTCCACGCTGCCTCTGCACCCTGGATCTCCTTCTCCGTCACATTTCCCAGTGGCTTGAGGAAGGGTACCATCTCTTGCGGCGACATATCATATGCCTGCTTCACCTTCATCCAGCTTGTACTCTTTGCCGCGAACAGGTAGTTTTGCCGCTCGATTTCATGTAAAGCTCCAATTCCTTCACGCCAATTGTCACCAAAATACCCACATAATACACGAGGCAAATCATGGCCCGTAGCTACGAGCCGCCGTATATACGGTACAAGGGAAACAGCTTGTGGGTGGCCGGCGCTGTCGCTACCGCTGAAATGATGTGGTTGTCGCTGATGGCGCCCCGTTTCAGGTCCGCTTAGATGTGGGGAGGCCGTAGCAGATGATGTGATGGGAAATGGATGCTTTTGATATGGCAGTTGGATATTGATGAAAGCTGCCAGCGCCTGGACCTGGTGGGTGTGTTGGGCGACATCGAGGAAGTACCGGTGGCAGCTTTGGAAATGCGAGTACCAGTTGAATATGTCGAACTCAGGGGTCGTGACACCGTGCTCGCCTGTCGTAGGCCATCCATAATGTAGGAGGGAGGACGGCTGAAGTTCTTGGGGTAATGGGCCGGCTTGCGAGCTGGACGCCATACTTCTATTCAGAACGGACACTTATCAGCTGGCTGTGTGTAAAGAACTAGGCAGAGGTTCAATAAATGGCAGAGCGAAGTGCAGACACCGGACATACCTCCGAGAAGACGCACCCCAGGACAATAGTTCCAGGGAGGCCTGCCGGATGGCCTCTATCAACGTGGAGTTCCAAGTTGGGTGCGTCAAGCAGGAGGATGGAGGGGTTATGGCGCTTTGACTCTTCGCCCAATTGAGCGCTGGCTACATATGACGAGAGCATATGCCAGGGACTCCACGGGAGAAGGTACGAGGTGAGGTTGGAGCTAGAGCTGGAGCTGTAGACTGGAAAAGGCCCATCAGGAGCTTGCCAGGGCGAAAGACCAAGGACGAGGGACAAGGCCAGCGTCTTTATATGAACGAAATTAAGGACAACTGGGTGTCAGGAACCTTCCGGGAAGGAGGGGGAGCGCCATAGAGCCAGATGCGTGTACAATAATGCATGGTTGCAACTTGCAACTTGCATGTGTACCTACTGGTGCTGGTCTCGACGAGAACAATGGGGATGGGCATGGACGGGGAGTTTCGGTGCAGTACTGTACCGACGACCTCGAGGCTCAACCTCTCGCAACTCCAAGCCGGCCACTTGAACCTCCAGAAACACACTCGAACACGGACTTGGAGGCACAAGAAGAATTTGCTACCCGCCCGAATGCCTCAAGCCAACATCTCGGAAAGTGACCGCCCCATCAGGCGACCATGTGTCTTATCCAAGCTACCCTGTACATCCTCCAAAGCGGCAAGCCTTAAGCCTCAAGGCACAAGCTTCACGCCTCACACCATGCCACACCCACCTTCTCGCGCCTAAACAATGGCCACAGCGTGCACAAGGAGACAAAGGGGACCAGGTGTCAAAGGACACTAATAACTCAACTCTTACTAGATCAGGGCAAGACTGGTGGTACAAACTCCAGAGTCCTAGAATCTAGAGAACCAAAGGTACAGTAGCTCACGGAGTACGAAGTACAGTACTGCCTATGTACTGCCTACTGATCTTCTGATTTTATTTAATTGGATATTTACTGCCTACCTAGCTACTCCCGCCTAGCTCCACTGATTGATATCTTGTCCTCACCTATGTTCCACCTCGATGCACATCCACGGTTCCGCAGCTTGACTCGACGATCCCCGTGAGCTCCAAGTCTCCTAGACCACTCGTTGGCCTTCTACTTCATACCTTCATGGCTGTTCTCCCTAATAGAAGAACAAGCCTCCCCTGTTCTCGTGCACAGCATGGCATCCAGGATGCCGCGGGAGACCTGCGCGCACGAGCATGGCGCATACGCCGTATGAAGGTCCATCTATCCATACATATCCCCATTCGAGCTTTTTTCCAGATTCCCGGGACCGCCGTCTATTGATATTGTTTGATTGCCTTCAACGCCTCCGGACAGCCGCAGCAGGAGTTGTCGGTCAAGGTTCGGAGGAGCCAGTCGAGTATGACTGCCCCTTGTTCTGCAAGATCCGGTCCAACCACATCTGCGTCCATCAGGCCCGTTAGCACGGAGACGACTTTTGATTTTGTATCCGGATGTTGGTCCTGCGTCCCAATGCCTCGCGTGGCAGTTACTAGAATCGCGGGGACATTCCTGTCGACCCCAAGTTATCGGCTTACGACCAAGCTAGTTTCTGCAAGACCGATACAACGTACATCCAGAGCCCAAAATGCCATGAATGGCCAGCCGTCGTTGAGGTTGGGATCAGTGCTCCAGGCACAACCCCTCGCCAGCTGAAACCCGGGTCTTGAGTATATGTGGCTGGCCACCTACTCCGTTCGGAAAACTCCCTAGACCTCAGTGTAACCGACCTCAGTGTAACACTAAGACGTATCAATGTCGGTACTCCGTAGGTAGTATCATGAAGATGACCGCAGAGCCGCTCCACGCCGCTATCTATACCGACAAGTTGATACGCCCTCGATATCCCAATACAAAAGCCTTGCCAAGGCTGACGCGAGTTTGGAGTTAGATTGCGTGCAGTCTCTACGGCTTGGAAAAGAAATCAGGTAGTACTACTACTCGTTTCTTCTCCCTGGAAAGTTTCTTGAGGAACAATACCGGCTTTTGGATGGTCTACAAGCCTTGGTTTGTGCTGCCTCATGGTCATGAGCGGAATACGCACTTCTCTACACGGGCTGATCGGTCGGGTCCTCCTACGCTTCTAGCAAACTTAGGAACGATACACAAACCGTTGACCTTAGTTTGTTATTTTCCATTCCTCTTGCCAAACAAGACAGAGATCGCCATCGGTATATTACGTCCGAATCCAGATCAGAAATTCAAAATGTAACCTGTCACATTTGCACGGTCTCTAGGAGTTTCCTTCGTGGTCATCCCTTGCTTCAGGCGCAGATCCAAGCCTGATGCATCCTGGTTATCCTCCATAGAGTCATCTTCAAGCTGACTGAACCAGGTATTCCGTCCCGCACGGCGTCGACGTTGACACAGAAGGATTCCCCTTTGGCCATCTCCACCTTCTCTTCGGTGGATGATGAGTGTTGGGCAGCCCACGCTAGTAGTAACTAGACTGCCGTGCAATAGTCGATAGCCGGTGGAGCATCTTCGCGACTGATAGATCAATTTCCAGGATTCTCCAATGGCTCTTCGACGTTCCATCTTTTACCACCTACGAATTTCCAGAGGTCCTCTCCCGGTTGACCATCCACGGTCTCTGCCGTTAGAAAAGCTTCTACCGGTGTCTCACCTGTTGTCAGCGTTACGACGGTAAGCACCAATTGATGTACACTACCTCACTTGGCTGCATATGTGAAACCACATAGCAATTTGCAAGTGCAGTTATTCACAGTTTTCGAAAACTGTGGAATTTTCCTATTTCGCTACCCCTGAAAACGCCCTCTTCTGCTATCCGAAGGGGTACCTAGGTACTGTACGCTCCGTACCCTGCAGATGTGGCATAATACGGCTGGCTGAACTTTGTGGTTCGCTCCACCTTATCGGCTGCTGTCTCCTAGATACGTACTCCTTTTGCTTTTGCATCAATATGCGGGCGTCGCTTCTTTCGCGTAGAATATATGCTGCATATAGAGTAACGGTAGGGGCTGGATCAAACAGGTGGGGAACCATGCGCAGCTGATATTAGCGCCGAAGGTAAGCTACTTGAATGCCTTACTCGCATGGAGTTGTATTGTTAATGATATCATGATAGTCATTGCTGCAGCTCTAGTGGAAATATGGATGTGGATGCCTAGCTATGACACGCTACTGGAAGGCATGTCATTGAGGAAAGAGCTCTGCAGTTCCGGTACTTCGAATAGCAACATATTGAAAGCAATTTTGTGAGATTGGAGTTGGCTGTTAATGGTAATGCCCATTCAATACAGCCATGTATGTCTACAGCCGTAGGACAACCACATCGCCTCATCAAGCCTGTAACCCTCCATGTAGCTTGTATTTTTTTCACACTTCAACCTGCATTTTGGTCCAGACCCCGCATGTCACGAGGAGATCCTTGTAGATACGGTAAATGAGAATGGAAAGGCTATGAGGGGCTCAAGAATTATATCACTTGCTCAGTTGGTTATATTTACTAATACCATGACAAATTGTGTTACTGCACTTTTAAGTAATGTCGAGATTAGTCGATGGATAGGACAATGTTATTAGTAGTGATCGAGGCATATGATACAAATGTTAAACTCATCCATGGGGTGTTTGGATAGCTCGTTAGGCAAAGGTTTACAGCAACCCTTTTATTTTAATTCTATTTATTCGTAAGCAATGACCGAGCCCAATTAAGAACTGAAGTTAGTAACACACCAGTGTCTAAATCTGACAAACTATTCTCCGAGGGCATGAACCCTAAGTTTTAGACGTCGGGATTTTAATGTATACCTATATAATGAATAACTGGCACTTAGCTATAAACTCAGTAAGGGTTTCGAATTAAATTTATAGGAACCTAATCGACATAACCCTCCATCCAAGGTGTTTCTTGGAGAGTATACATATAGATAAAACATTTCCCATCTCAAAATACAGAGGGTTTGCAGGTTAGATGGAAGCTTCAAGTATATTTTCAAATTTCAAATTCGTTGACGAACACAACGTAGCGTACTTTCCATTCCACGACTGAGCTGGACTAATAAACTTCCCACATCATATCCTAGCATCTGGCTCCTCCAAACTACTCGTTACCTTCCCCCAAATATCCTCTCGTCTCTCCCGGGGTTTATCATGCCGGCCTCTAGTCTGAAATTCCCTCCTTGAAACGGCAATAAATCCACGCGGCGCTACCATCTCGTTGGACACAGGCCAACTCGGTCCACACTCGGGAATGTAATCCTCATTGGGAGCAAGAGGAGGATGCCGTACTCGCGGTTTGGCCTTGCGGGGAGCTTGGGGCATGGCGATATATGATATATTGTGTTGGTGGGGTTGACTGTTGTGTGGTTTGTGGACACGATTGTGTAACGAGGGTAATTCCACGATGTTGAGGAGCCGATGGGCACAACGGAAGTTGTCTATGGGGAAGAAGTAGAGGAAGGGGTACTTTGGAAAGCAGTGGGGGAGGTTGGAATCACGAGGGACGTGTGAATGTGAAAATAAATTATGGGCAAGGAAGCAATTAACCCGAGAAACAATATGCTCATTATTAGAACTGCCAATATTTGTGTTTATGATTTAGAACTGTGATAATTCGAATGAATAAACTAAAGTAATTGCCAGGGCGGATATAATGTGATTATATAATTCGGAAGAGCTTTCTACCCTCTAGAGTTATTCTGGCTTTCTATGACTCGTTAGCTATTCACTTTCCATATAGTAGTGATCAAGCAAAGAATTCTCAAGGTCTCTAGAGAAAAGTATATGGCTATTCAAATGGTTCAATTGATATAAAACCTAGCTTCACTTGCTTTTTTCTAATCTTGCCTGGTAAGCACTTCTACTAGTTGGATCTATGGTATTTAAATTAATTCTTTTTTTAGTTCTTCAATTCAAAGTTTTGTTTTGAAATATTGTATGTGCCTTTAAAGAATTGATTTACATTCTCTGTAGTTCTATTCATAGTTTGGGCTTCGTGTCTCAGTGTTTAAATGTGCTACAACAGTGGCATCATCTCTATTTAGGAATTAGATGAATAAGCCAAAGAAGTTATAAACAAGTTTCATATTCCGATTAGCTAAAATTGGTATCTTGCACAACAACATCATGCTCGTCAGGGTTTTCTCTGCCTTCTCATCATGCGCTTTTTCTGTATGATGTGCGCTCTCTTTGCTATACGGCTGTCCTCGCTGTCCTTGGCGTTTGTAGAAGATGGCTCGCTTCTTGGCTTCTTATTCCGAACACCTGTATCTGCTTGTTTGGCCACCTTATGCACTACCTTGTCGAATGATTTCCCTGGGACAGGACGCCCCTTCTTCCCCTTCATGCCCTTGCGGGTCATCGCCATGGTTGTGTCCCGCCGTAATGGCTTCTTCTCTTTGGGTGGTGCCTCCCCCTTCTCTCGTGCCTCGACGACTTCCTTCGATCGAGTCCTAGCTTTCTCTTCTCGTTCCTTTCTCCTCGATACCACCTGGGCGTTCTCAATAGCAAACTCAACAATCAACCTCTGCTTCCTTCCAGCATCGTTCTCAAGAGCATGCCCATTTAGCCATCGTAATCCCATCAACGCCCATCTATGTGAGCTGTATTCGACAAACCCATACCCTCGGCTTCGTCCAGCCCCAGCGGTCTCAGGAATCTTCGCACCTTCTTTACCCTCAAAGACAACCTTCGCTTGCCTGGCAACGCCTTTGCCCTTCGTCTTTCTCTGCCTCTCTGCGTCGCGCATTTCTTCGCCGCCACGAGCCTCTTCTTCCTTAGAAAGCTGTGCCCGAAGGCCACCCTTAACATCTTTGGCAAACCCAACTACGGCTTCTCGTGCAAGGGCCTTTAAAGCCTTGGAGTCGATATTGCGAGGTAGATTACGAATTGAAAGACGGGTTAAGCTCAAGTGCAGTGTGGGGTTGTTTTGAATTAGCTTTTTGCGTTGCTTTGCACTGTCTTCCCTCATCTTGACCTCGGCCGGTGAGAGCATTTCGTAAAGAGGCGTGCCAGCTGCAACCGTACCTTCTGACAACAGATATAATTTTCGCTTGTCCTTATCGCGATCGTCTCGGAAGTGTGTGCCCTCTTCGGTCAGCTTGACCGCGGAGTCTCGGTCAACAGCTGGCGAGATTTGGAGAACGCGACCTTCAAGAGTATATGCACCGCTCGAGTCCGCGGTTTCGGGCTCCAGGACAGAGTGTTTAACCTTTGCCGCTACGCCATCCCCTTTTTTGATAGCATTCGCACCGCTGAGTTGATACCGAGGCGCCCCTCTGAAACATGCATCCGCATCCTCAACTTTGAAGAAGCAGACAAACCCTGTGCCCTTAGGGCGGTCGGTAGCGCGATCCATGACGACTCGTGCATAGCGCACAGGGCCAAATTGAGTAAAGTGCTCCTTGAGACTAGCATCCAGGGTCGTAAAGGGAAGGTTCCGGACAAAGAGCGTGGTGGAGTTATCTTTAATAAATACTTTTTGAGGTTTATGATCTTTGAGCTCCTCATCCGTGTCCCAATCTTCGTCGTCGTCGTCCTCTTCCTCCTCCGAGCGGGCCTGGTCATCAACATCGTCGTCATCATCCTCAGACTCTAATTGATCCCCAAAATTGCGCATGAAATTTGCAACATCGTCGTTCTCGTTTTCGGATTTAGCATCCACCTCGTCTCCTGATACTTTTGCGCCGCCATCCTCATCATCCAAGTCCTCAGCATCCTCATCCGCGACCTTTTGCTGCTTCTCCCAGGTGTCCTTTTCAACAGCCCAATCTACTGCCACCACTCTTCCGTCCACAGTCGTACCATTGATAGTCTCCAGGGCTTTCTCTGCGTGCTTCCTGCGCCGCATGACCACAAAACCAAAACCTCCCTGCGTTTCCTTGACCTTCGGAAGCTTAGCCTGTTTGACTTTGCCAAATTTCTGGAATAGCTGCGACAGTTGCTCAGGTTCCTTAATACTCCAAGGAAGATTTCGAATAATGAGCTTTGACGGTTTCCAGTCCTCTGCCATCTTTTGTTTGCGAGCTTCCTTCACAGCAGCAGCCTCTGCAGATACCGTGCTTTTTGGCTTCCCATCAGGACCTCCACCGGTGACCATTACACGAGACCTGGGTTGTGCAATCTCAATTCTCATATTCCGACCTAGGAACGCCTGGCCGTTGAATTGTTCCAAAGCGCGCTGGGCATCTTCTGCGTCTGCGAATGTGACAAAGCCATAACCTTTTGATTGCTTGGTCTCCGTATCCATGACAACGGTCGCATGCTTAAGGGGGTAGTCTTGGGAAAACTTTTCCGTCAAGGCATCGCTCGTGGCTATAGCGGGGAGAGACCGAACGAAAAGCGTGCGGCGTGCGGCGGCATTTGTTTCGTTCTTTGGCTTCTTCAATGGAGGCTGCTGGTCCTGATCATACTCGGAGACTGGCGCAGCCGCATCGTCTCCATCCTCTGCGAGGCGTTGCCGTTTTGCTGGTCCCGCCATTCTTGGTGGCAGTACTGGAATATTTTGCGGCCGTTGGACTTGCGATAAGGTTTTAGATTTCAAAAAGTCAAAAGTTTCTGTCTGGCTCGGGACCAACCCCTGCCCGCATCCGCACGTGATCAGCGGCTAAATTGGGGGCTGCACAAAGGCTCTAACTTTAGCGCGGCCTCATTGTCATGGGCAAAGCCAAAGGCCTCCGAGTCTCGCCCTTACACTCCACCTCCCATCGACTTCGCCTTCACCACCCGGCGACATTCCGACATTCCGCCTCTGTGATCGCGGACCCTGACGAGATATCGATTGCGACTACGAGCACGATCTGGTACCGGTGGATGAGATAGCAGCGGCCGTCAATACAGGTACAACCCCCCCGGGTGCGCCGTGGGGTGGATTGCGACCGTCTCACCTGCTTCTGGGAAGCCTCCGCACACCCTTTCATCACCTCACCTGGACCGATAGAGATCGACTTCTCTTGATCCGCGAGACTGGTTTGAATCCCCTTCTTGCTTTGGACACGGCTGTTTGAAGCCCAAGCACGGGTTGCACCGAATCAACGAAACTTGATCCGGCGGCCAGTTCACTTTCACACCACTGCCAACCAAACGTTTCGGAGTCGCTTTATTGCCGACCGCCTTCACGTCTTTGTGCTCTTTGAACTCACCCTCGAGATGCCTTCGGACCATCCACAGACCCCCGAAAGTCCTACTCATACCTCCTCCGTTGCCACCGATCCACACACAAAAGCCAGCACGTCACCCCAGTTTACGAACTCGCTCCCTACACCTGCACATAGCATCAACGGAAGCATGTCATCTCTCGCCTCGGAGATTGTGCCAGAAGGCGCACTGCATGTAGAATCATCCAACAAGCGCAAACGGGACCCAGAAGACCACGGAAATCGAGAACAGAAGAAAGTTCATGTCGAGGACAGCAGACTGAGTATTGAAGACCTCCACTTGGACGTTGGTGAAAAATACCTCCTCTGCAGAACTCGTAAGGCTCCCTTCTCTCTCCGAAACCTGCTCTTATCCTGGTGATGTATATATGAAGGCATAGTATTGGCCATGTCCCTTGCACATCATTTACAGGAGTACTTGGTTAACATGGAAATTAATGAGCAGCCCACCCTGGTCAACGGCCTCAGCTTTCTCAAGATCTATTTGGGCTTTACGGGCTAGATAGCATTGCACAATCAGTCGCACGAACGAACCCTGATGGAAGCAAGAATCCTCTGCGGAAAACGTACAAGAAATATATCAAGACTCTTGGTTTGAGTGGTGCATTTGACGTGGGCAAGAAAGATGTGGATGCTCCGGACACGCTCTTCGCGCTGCTGTCCCAGCCGGATGAAGAATGGGAGGCACAGAATGCTCGGGGCCAGGAGATTAGCTCTGGCCTCCCAGAGGCTGTTAAAGCCAGTATGGGTGCTGCGCTCAAGATGTCAAGAGGAAAGATATCAAAGAGCTCGTGGGATGACTCTGTCTTGGGCGAAATTGCGACCCGCCCACCCCCTGAGCCGGCGAAAGTAATACACAACGCAGCAAGGAACCCGGTTTCCCAGAATGTTGGGATGGCGCGGCCAGCCAAAGGTGATATTCCACGTCCCAAGCGAAATGTCAAGAAGCGTTCATACGGTGATTCAAGCTTTGAGGGATATGGCGAGGGCTTTGTTGATGATGATAACCAAGATACGGGGTATTCTACTGGCGAGGGTGATGATCGATCCGGCCGGAAGCGGCCAAAGAAGGTAGGTTGTTGGCTACAGTTTTGAGATCTGATAGCTGACATAAATATAAGAGCGCTCCCGGCCACAGCTTTCAAGGTCCTGTGCGGCAGACCAGCTACGGCCCTGGTATGGTTGGAGTTTGATAGCCGATAGCTATGGGTTTTCCATTCGGCCCAAAGGCTACTGCGGATATAGGGCCATGAATTGATACCTGGGATGCAATACTGTGTGTACGCATTTTTTCTATGACAACTTGACCATCAAGGGTTGATGATCATAGGTAGCTTCAGAAAGATGCGTATCGCGGGTGGCTGGGAAAATGAGACTGGGTGTTACGGTGAGGCTTAAGCCTCACTAATAGAGATGTAAAGAGCCCTAGGACTGTCTGTATGATGTTACGCTCATGAAGCGCTTTTGCCGTTGTATTTTGAAATTTAGCGGGGAAATGGAGTTCGATCCTGGTGGTCAGGGCAGGCAGGCTGTATTTACAAAGTCCTGCATCTGGAAATAAGCAAATAAACAATCCAATTCCAAACAGTATCCAGTCAACAATGTTCTAGGTTTTCATGGTGAAACCGAAGTCCTTGCTCCTCTGGCCGTAACATATACATGTAGTGCCGGGTCGGCATTATATTATTCCGTCACCGCACCCGATACCTTGCTTCGTAGACGACGATTGTTAACCCTTCGGTAGTATCTCTGCACAATCGCAATCCTAAGGCTCAGTACGAAGTACTGCTGCCTGTCCTTGCTTTCCCAAGAGGGCCCCCTCAATAATGTCTCAAACATCCACCCCCAACTCTCGATACATTCCCCGGCATCTCATCTATCCCAATCGGCCATTGCTACTGGTCGACCTTGAATTCAGATAGGAGCCGATGAACCACTGCCCAAAATTTTCTCCTAGCTATCTAATCGAAACGCGCCTCAGATGCCAATGGTGCATTCAAGGGCGGGAGACAAGCTGGTCAACCTTCACTTTTTCCCGTGAACGTCTGGCGGCTCTGACCTCGGTGAAGAAACTATACAACAGGGCCATGACTTGGTAAGGGAGGGATGGCAGGCATAATCGGAGCTATACGTGCTAAATTTTAGCTAGCCTAGATGTTTTGTGCTCTTGGGCAAGGCTCTTGGTGTAGCGTAGCCGCCGAGGACGCCTACCTCCAAGAAGGAGTCTGAAGAACAACCAGCCCAGCCTCTCAGACAGTCTCTTAATTGCTCTGAGACTTCTTCCAAGCAATCACGTGCTTTTAGTTGATAGCAGTGGCTGCTTATACCAAGGCAGAATACGTTACTATAGCCACCAAATGTGTACGGCACGCCCCTGGAGGGATACAACCTATGACTAGGGGACCATGCAGTGATATCAGGCCAAGGAAGGCCCTTTCGCAGAACAGTGCTATGTATTGAGCTTCTAAAGTTATTGGCAACTACTTTTGAAAACATATTATCGTTTGTCTCTGTTATCTTCGGCTGTATACCTGACTTTGCTTCGAGGTCGTCGATTTGTGCTAGATTATACACATATTTCTCCGTAACGCGTGTATGTTTAAGATTCTAGTGAACTTATGCATACCGGTGCAAACTTTGGTTGCAAGCGGGTCCAGCCCTTTCAGACCGAAACCTCTACTTTTGTTGACCGACATCAAGCATTTGCCAAGCTTGTGGATCCACAAAGTCGACAGGAGTGCGAAAAGCATTTCAACTGACTTTCTTTCGCTTAATAGTGTCAAGATCTATTTTGCAATGACATCTTAAATATTTCAAAATCTATTTTGCGGTGAAGATTATGGCGCCTTTCCCGATTCCTTGCAGGTTCAGGGATGAGGTGAGACCTTAATATTGATCAGCATCAACGCTTGGGCCTAGCATTCCTCTTCGGTTTCCATGATGAGTTAGTATTGTGATATTCCTAGCCGATAAGATAATACTTCTGTACCTAGACACGAGTGGGACTGAGTATGGTTGAAAAGATGCTGGAAACTGAAACCAGCCTGGCTCTTGATACTACGAATGAGATACTAGCGGGTTCAATTAAGCTACATTGTGTACTACCACTCTTAGTGCAATGTGGCAATGTCGAGCATATTGTTTCTCCGGTATGATGTATGCTAAGTTCCCTTGGTGTCTCTGAATGTTGTAGTGGCGGTAGCTGGCCACCATGGACTATGTTCGTAGCAATGGATCTACATTATCAACGAGCTTGATATGTTTAGGAAGGCTTAGCACATGCTTCACAGTAGCGATGGCGAGCATATGGAATGTCAAACTTCTACATATAATCCCATAAGTTCGCCCAGCTTCAAGTTCTGGATTCTCTCATGATTATCGGAAGGCGCTCGTTTCTCCTTAACTGACCGTTTATACACTCGCTTTATCGACAACTCTTTTTTCCCCCTTTTCATTTTGGCGCTTCCGCCAATTGCTATCATGCGTTATCCCGAGTTCCTCGTCCCCGCTGTTTTCGCTTTGCTCGATGTTACTCAAGCACTCACCTGCGATATTCCCACGGGTGTGCAATTCCCTGAGGGAACGCCTCATGATTGCTGCCTATACTATATCCCAACTGCGGCTGAGCATGACTGCACTCTTTTGACAGCCGCATTAGCCGCATTACCTGTTACAGTTACTGTGGCTGATGTCTTCGCCTTGAACCCGAATCTCGACGACAGCTGTGCTAATCTGGAAGGCAACTCGAACCACGCGTAAGGCATCCGAATCTTATCAAGACTTGTGCTAACATAGGTATCTCTATAGATACTGTATACTACGCAATAACCCCGATCACAGTACGACTACTACAACCACGACCACTCAACCCACGACTACTACAACCACTCAACCCACGACTACTACAACCAC